ATTTTTTTACATATATTGAAAAAACAAATCAAAATTTTGTTCTTAAAATAAGATCATTTTTTATATTACTGTAATTTATATTAATTATTATTTTTTGGAAACAAATGATTTAAAAAAAAACACTTGGTTCAATACAATTTAAACATTAAACACTCAGTAGGGTACTAATTTTTTGAGTTTGGCTTACGAATTACCGGTTGTTTTCTCTTTAAAATATTTTGTAATCGGATCATTTTTCATAAAGTGTCCAATTTTTAACTTGAACTGAAATTTTTAATCGGAAATTAGTGATTTGAAGAAAATATGCACAAATATGTAATATTTCCTAAAATATGCACCAAGTTGCCAAAATGTACAAAATATGCATTTTTTATTTGGCTTATTTTAATTAAAAAACATTAGATATGCATAGAAAACTTACAATTTTATTGATATACCTCTTAATAACAAATATGCATTTTGCATATAATCCGAGCCTCAATGATATTCCGTTTTTTTTAGAAAAACTAGTTTTAAACTTTTCTAATAAACTATCTCTTTAACATTTTCTTAAAAAAGTAATGTACTATTGGATATACAATACCTTGATCATCATTTTTCTGTCAATTTTTGAGTTGACAGAAAAATGATGTAAAAATAATGTAAACCAAGCATTAATGTCGAGTCAACACTGATGACAATTTCAAATTGTTGACTTTTCTCTTGTCAAAAATATGACACCTTTCACAAAACTTTAGAATCGTCATTGCCTTTGGATGAGTTTCTCATTCAGTAATCTTTTTTTTTTGTATTCAACATTTTGCAATGATGAGTTTTAGTAACAGTCAGTGACAATTGTTGGTAGTGGTAAAAATTAATGTTAACCATCCTAATGCTTGCTTTAGAACTTTACGTCGCACAAAACTTGACGACCAAAGTAATTTGTCCCCAACTGTACCTTTTGATGTAAATTTACCAAAAAAAACTTTTGCAGTCAGTATAACTTTTGGCTAGGAATCATCAAAAAAAGATTGTTGTATAATCCATTTCATTGAAATTGGCATAACAGTAGGCCATGTATCTGTAAACTGCTCTTTAAATATGAAAAAGGCTTTACATATTAAGGAACTAAATTTGTCACTGAAAAAAGTCAAATTTCATTTTTAAAGAACCCTCAGAGAGTTTTTTTTTCCATAAAACCTTAACACCCTGTATCATCCCTTTGTAGGTGTAGTTTTAACACCAAAAACATACACTATTTGCTTTGGAGAAAATAATTTGGCTTTATTCAAACTGATATATTTGATTCCATAAACCTAAAACGGGAACAACAAAAAGAAATTGATTATGTTTCCAAACATACCTTAGCGTGTACTCTAAATCTTGGTTTCTAAGGAGAACTACTTTTAATTATAATTTGAAAAAATACTGGCAATAACAAATAAGCAACGAAAACAGTAAAAAACGAATACAAATCCAAACCCCATCTGCTATTATACCAGGGACATGCGCAGGGCTACAAACTTAAATATGAAATTTCATAGCTAACCATTATGCCAATTTCAAGGAAAACTACTGTAAGTGAAATCTAAAATGTTCTAGGGGTTTTGTAAAAATTTCTATAATAAAAATGTCACATATTCAAAATTTTTCAGTAGTGATAAAATTAAAAGAGTTTGGAAAGAATCCTGATCAAAGTTTACAGTGGAAATATGGGAACATATTTGTATATGTAAAACATATATGTATGTAAAACATACAAAAATTTAATTTAAAACTGTGGGAACTGTTTGTAGATGTTATCAAAATTATACTGTTATTATTTTCTCAAAGGGTTTGTTTAAGGTGATTCTTGCAGTCTAAAATTTACCTAATAAACCTAATACTCGTAATGAAGTTTTGTAAAAAGACTTAGACATGTTTATAAGTAAATTTATAACCTCAAAATATTTAGTTACAAAAAATCAGTAAAAACCATTTTCCTTTCAAAATTTAGTTAATATCTGTAACTATGGTAACGATCAATTACCAACATTTCACCAGAATTTTGACCATTAAAAACATAGACTTTTTTAGGGAAATTTAGTAAGCATAAAAATTTTTTATAGAAATTTAATTGTACTAATAACCCTTCAATCTTAAATAAAACAGATGACAAAGCTTTCATTTATCTTCCTGCTAACAATTGAGGATATGTCAACTATGAGGATATGTCAGCTGTCCCTGTCAAGGTCTCTTTTCCCCAAACCCACATTGATCTTTTTTACAGTTCATATTTCATATAAGGGATTGAAGCGCCCTCTATAGCTACTAGCTTTCGTTATTGGAAATTGGTATAGAAAATTCGGGATTTATGGAAAATCCATAAGTGCATCCTGTCTGTTGTACACAATAACCGGACAAACATCGCTTAAATATTGAACATTAACGACACTTTCCGCCAACGATCACTAAATAAACCAGTAGCTTTGAACCTCAGCCTGTAATTTTTATCAAATCATCGACTAGAAAATTACAATTATTTTGGGTTTTTTTCCTGAATAATAAATTTTGTTTGACGTCGAGAGTTATTTCGTATTTCTCACCTTGCCGCTGGGTTTCCACGTCGAAAATTTGCAGCCCAATAAATCATTGCTTGTTTTATATTTCAGACACCCCCTCGTTTGCGATATCCCGCGAACCAGGTTTCGGTTTTCCCATCCGAGAGGGAATGCCTGTATCTTTGAAATGTGATGTTGACGCCAACCCCAAAGCTTTGCCCATCTGGCAGAAAGACGATTCCAGCCCTCCAGTTCAACAAACACCGGATGGCTTCTTGAACTTTACGGAAATTCGCAGGGAGCACAGCGGCTGGTACAAATGTATTGCTCGCCACAGGCTAGGGAAGTTTTCCAGCATTGGCTATTTTCTCAACGTACGATGTAAGTACACTTTTTCTTTACTTTTTTCAGCTTCATTTACTTGGATTTTCATTAGCAGTTCATTTAAAACTTTAAAGAATAATGAATTGACTGCATTTACCTAATTTTCAATAAATAAGGTCATTGAGTGTTATTTTTCTCATTTTACTAACTTTTGTCTAACTTCTTGTTACATATCAACTCTCCCAACGAAAACTATAGTAACTCAAAAATTACAGTTTTGAGAAAAATTGCCTTGAATCTTCGATTGTTAATAAAAAATCAAGAAACTGTTTAATATTATTGAACATTGTTAAGGGTCTACATTTTAGTAATAATATTGTTTATTCAAAGTAATTATTCCTACGACCATATACGAAACTAGATCATAACGCACAATTACATATGCGCGAAAATTGGCACAATTTTTTGTTTTTGTTTTTGCACTGTGTGTTAGAAATCTAACGCACAATTCACACTCAATGGTTGTTTTTTTTCATTCAACGTATTTTTTGTTGTATCCATTATAAAAAATAAATCGTTATTCAATGTATTTTTGTATCCATTATAAAAATAAATCGTTAGGAAAAAAGTGTACAAAACTTGCAGGAAAGTGTCTAACGCACTCGCGATATTGTCTGCACTCGGCTAACGCCTCGTGCGCAACTTTCCCGCTTGTGCGTTATTTATCACTTTCCGTGCTCGTTGTGTAATATACTGTTTTCTCATTGTTTTTGTATTTTGGGCTCTACATAAGCCATCGTACTCAAAAAAAATATGAGTTACTATAGTTTTCGTTGGGAGAGTCGATTATTACCTAAAAAACGGTGTCGTCATGTCGTGTCGTGTCATATAGCCGTAATATGATAGGTAGTGCGTTTTGAGAATACTTAGTTATTTATGTATCAAGGGAAATAAACAACTATTTTAATCTCGAGAATGTAGGTAATTTTCATTTGAGGGATTAATGATGTTTATTACAGAGATGCATTCAAAATTTTTCTCCCAACAGACTAAATTAATAATAAGATAATAAACCGATAAATTTATCAAAAAATTTGTCAAAACATTCAGTTTATTCAATTGGAATGTTTTAAGAGTAAAACTCGGTATTTTTTTATCTTATTCCCGAGGAAATAAAGTAATAGATTATTAGTCAATAACGAGGGAATAAAGCGTCATTTTATTCGCTGTTGGGAGGAAAAGACCTTTAAAATGATTTATTGCCATAGTTTTTAACTATTAAAATTACATTTGAAACTGACTATAATACCATTCAACCCTTGCAAAGCAAATTTCAAAATATTTAGACAAAAAATTTTGATTCTACATTTTTCAGAATATTACTGAATTACAACATTCTCTTTAGTTTTTTGTTGTTTTGTATTTAACATAATTATTTAAAACTTTTTATAAGAATACTACTGCTTCACAAGAGTCTTTAGTTTTTGTTGTTTTTGTGTTTAACATAATCATTTAAATCTTTGCCAGTATTATCGTTGTAGTTATATAACACCTTATTTTTATTTTCAAATATGAAAAAAATGGTAACTTTTATTTAGGATATTTAAAGTGCATATACAGAAACTTTTTTTATAGTATATATGTATGCAATTATAAAAAACATGTCAATTTTTTAGAGTAAATACAATTTAATATTAATTTTGCGAGGTAAATAAAAAGTATGGAACCAAACGGTTTTTTTTAATTACTTGTCTTTAAGAAACCATGAGGGCTATAAAAAATTGTGATCGTGTTTTGAGAGTTAGATTTTATTTTCTTTATGAGTTAGGCGATTTTTTTATAAAAATGGCTACTTATCTGAAATTTTTTTTTTGATAAAAATTGAATAAAATGAGATAATCTTTAGACTATAGCCTTTGCGAAAAAAGTGTTTATAGTACGTTACCATTTAAAAAAATTAAAAATTTTGCAAAACTTATAAACAAAAGAAAATTTCGAAAAATCTTATTGTTGATAAAACGTCACATTTTTATAGTACTTTATTATTCATCAATTAGTTTTTTTTTTTATAAATAATTTAGCAAAAGACATTTAGTTTCATACTTTTTGTTCATCCTGTATAACATAGGACTGTATACTAATTCTCTGTCCATGACCCATGTTTTTATGAACTTCTTGATTTTCTGCTTTTATTCTTAGAAACGTGAAACAATAAAATAAAAATTACATTACATGCAACATAAACTGTTTACGAAAAGCTTGATAATGATAAAACAATCGAGTTTTTTAAGGAAACACTTATTTTGAAATATCTACAAAAATACCTTGTATACGTAATAGTCTACTTTATGTGAAAATCCAACTTGAAAAAAAAACCTTAGAATTATTTAATATTTAATTATTAAATTAAAGACTAATATAGAACAGTCAGAAATGATTTAATCTATTTACAAGCAAAACGGTATATTCTTTTAATCAATTTTTGTTTGTCTTCATTAAAAAAAAAATCCTGTGAAACTTTGTAACTTTGCTTTAAACTTTTGCTCTTTATTTTTTTTTACAAATATTTACACACTGTAATCGTCTAGACAAGACATACAATTTTACGCAAAGAATTGACATTGGAAATTTTTAGTAAAATTCTGGTTTATGAAAACTAATCGTAAAGTGTTATTTGATAGCAACATATTTTCTGAACATCTCACAGCGAAAAAGGCGACAAACGAGAAATTCTTTAAACATGTTGGAACGATTCCAGAGTCTAAACATTTGTTGATAGGAAGATATTGCCTCGTGCTTTTTGTAGAAATTTTACTTCATTCTGTATTTTTGTTTGATAGTTTCTTCCACTCGTTGATTCTTTGAAATATATTTATTATTTATTTTACGAGTACTTTTGTAGTTTTTTTTAACAACTCGATTTTCTCTTGAAAGCATTATTGTGAAGTCAAGAATTTGTCCGGAAGAAAAATTACGGGGTAATTAACAGGCCAGTGCAAAAGAACCGACTTTTTTAAAGGCGAGGTAAAAATCTCCTGAGCAAACTTAATAGTTGAGTAACTAAAATTTAATGTCCCATATTTTATTCTTAGTACTTAATCAGTATAAACATTAAGCTCAAGAAGATCTATACCCATTGTGTCTTTTTATTTTAATCTGTACAAACTTTTATAGCTTTTACTAATACTAAACACAAGCATTTTTTAAGTTATTTCAGGAACTACGTAATTTATATATAAATAATTATTGTTTTTGGATATTGGATGGCAAATAATTTGATCTTCGTGTCCCGTACTTTAATTTCCTTTTCGTAGAGCAATTTATATGAAACTGACTTCATTGAAACGAATTTACTAAACTACCCCTTTTACTGAGGAACTTCCAACGAACTTGAAGCTTTAAAAGCAATAACACCTAAGTTTAATTAGTAGACAAATTTATGCACACATTTCTTAGCTTCAAGTTGAGAAATCAATGCGGCAAATGACTTTGTCAACCTCCAGAATGCGGAAACGGTTCGTTTCAACATAATCCTCCAACAATCAATGCAATAATTACTTGTTACCCTGTAATTTAGAACTTCTAGGCTATTAACCACAAAAGCCTCAATGTCAATGTGTCTGTGTTCTAATCATAGGAAGTAGTTTCGTTGATCCCTTAAAAGCCTCCGGGTTTTTTCTTCAAGATATTTGGAGTGTGATTAAATGTTTTCTTTTTGTCTATCGGCTACTATGTTGCTTTTTTCTTTTGAAAAATCTTCCAGAAAGTGAGAATAATAATTACAGTAATTTGTGTTGGTAAACCCACATTGCATATTTTGTTATAAGTTATGAATATTTCACACAGACTATTAATCTAACTTCAGATAGGGCAAGACGTGTTGGCACCATAGTAATAACTAACTATTATCACGTATGGTGAATTTACGGTTGATTTAGTTATACACCACTTCCTACTATGTTTTGAGATAATGAATTATTATTCAACTTGTGATTAGGGTTTGTGTGGAATTCATTTGTGTCATGACAGTTTTGGAGAATTTAAATTATTCGTTAGTAGCAACATTTTAAAATTCATATAGATTTGAAAATACTTTTCAGCTATGGTTAATTAAAATTTTGTAATTTAGTTTGTAAGTAATAATTTAGAAACAGGGAGTCCCAAAAATTTCGAAAAACACAATTATGAAATCTACTTAGCTATAAAAACCAATTTACAGAATTTAAATAAATGTCTATAAAACGAAGAAAAAACAAAGAAAACATAAAAAAAATATTTTGAAAGTAAGGAATTCTAATTTTTTAATTCTTAATTTTTAAATTAAGTAACTAAGTTTAAATGTGGCATTTTTAAATTTCGAAACAACGAACAGTTAATGTGAAATGAGCCTAATACAAAAGGACATGAAAGATTTTGTGTTAAAGATTTTTTGTTATTATACTACTTAAATTTCGAGAAGCAAAATATCCTTCGTAATTATTATTCCTTCAGTAATATTCGACAGGCTGGTAACTTGAAAAAAATGTATAGAACTAAATCCCATTTCTAGGCCCGTAGCTAGAGGGAGGCCAAGTAGGGCTCAGCCCTACTTTAGATATTCTAAAACTTTGTGTTTTTTAACAACTTTCTTTAGAAATAATAACGCATCAAATTATAATACAAACTGAATCAAAAGTAAAGCACAAATTTCATATCTTTGTTATGAGTCATTTTTCAAAGAAATCCTCGAACAGGTTGATTTTTTTAAAGCTACATTTGACACTACCTATAGTGACACATATGGCGTCATTCGTTTTCAAGTAATGACGTCATTTTTATTTTTTTTTAATGCCAGCCGACATTTTTTATTACTATTTGAGATAGTAGGTACACATCGTTATCTTTCTGGTAAGCATAAAAAAGTCAAAAAAATGAACCAAAAAAATGCAAAAAAAGAAGAAAATAAAATTAAAAAAACTTAAAAAGTTAGAGAAACTTTATCTTCTTGTTCTTGCTTTATTTTATAAGGGGTAATTGTTTTTTGTTTTTGTTTTTTTGTGTTTAGGTTTGATATTAAATGTTTTCATGCTAATTATTCAAATAAATATACAAAAAAATAGGGCAATAACAAAAAGATAAAGCCTTTTGCGTGTAATTGTCGATATTTTTTCATTTTTTAAATTAATTTTTTTTAAGTTTTAATTTTATTTTTTTTATTACTAGAAAGATAAAGATGTATGCTATTTAAACAGTGAACAAAAATGTCAATTGTTATTTAAAAAAAAATTAAAATGACGTCAAAAACAAATCACGTCATAAATGTCACTATCACGTCAAAAATGTATAGCATTTAAAAAAATTAAATCGACCTGTTCAAGGATTTAAAAAATAAATAAAAATTTTGAACTGTTCTAGCCCCACTAAAAATTTTGGGCGTTTTACCTAAAAATTGTTTCTAGGTACGGGCCTGCCAATTTCAAAGAAATTTTACTGGAATTCCAATAATTCATTAAGATTTTTAAATTCTTATAATTTCAGATAATTTTCTGTAATGTCTCTGTAATGTCAAAATAATTTCTGTAATTCCAAATTAATTTCGATAGTTCTAAAAAAATCAACGTAATTTTGAAAAGAATTAATTTAATTTTTTATTCTTAATTAATTTTTTATTAATTTTTAATTTTTTTTATTCCAAAGTAATTCCCAAGGAATTCAACGTGATTTTCAAATAATTTAGTAATTCCAAACAATCCAAAGATAACTTTAATAATTCCAAATACTTCCAAATAATTCCAAGCAATTTTGATTAAATTCCAAAAATTTAAACATCTAATTCCAGAATTAACAACCCCTCGGTGATATCCATTTGATTTTACTGAGATAATTATTGTTATTGAACAAGGGTTAAAAGTTTGAACTTGAACTTGTGCTTTTGATATTTATTTATTTCATTTAATTTAGATAAAACCAATAAAAAACTTAAACGGCTCTTGAGCAAGGTTCTAAATCTTATTGGCGTCGCAATCTACCTTCTACATTCTATTCCACAATCTTCATTTTCTAAGTTGACCTACTTTTTCTACATAAAAATTCGCCGTTACTTTAAAGTTATCGCTATTTGGAATCCTGTATGCATGCAGATGTAATAAAAAGAAAAACAACATAACGAAATGGATAAGACTGTAATTAAAGAAGAATAATAACAAGCATTTACATTTATAGTTTGGGAGTTTTAGGTAATTATGTTAACGCAACTTTGAGTTTCAACGTAGTAAAATTATTTTTGACCATTAAATTCGTTATTTAAGAGAAACTGTCATAAACACTTTAGTCGTTATTGTTCCCACACTGCAAACAAAGTTATTTTTCTGGATTAAAAATCTGAAGCTAATGGCTAGTTGTGGAAAAGACGAGAAGTGGCCACTGAAATGGTCTTCTATTATAAAACATGTAGAGTGGCTTAATTAACCGACGTCTGCTGTTGACGTTTTAACTCATTTAGGAAAACTTTATCAACTAATTCACTCTCCACAACTATTTATAGTGAAGGCGTTAGATTATAGCAGTCGTCTTCTAACCCCAAACCCTCATTACCGATAATAACAGTCATTATTTTACAACTGTGTCGTTTACAAAAACCACCCGTCTGTTCTTTATCACCCTTCCAGAGTATGCATCTTATTATGAGTTTTTTTACTCGAATTTACGTTTTACGATCATTTCTCTAAACCGTAAACTTGCTAGCTGAAGATTCAAAGATGCACTTTTTGCCCACAAACATGCTTACTTTGCGTGTAATAGCCGTGTTTACGACGAAGTTGTCTGTTTATCTAGTTTATTATGAGGAAAAAATCACTTTTTTGTTCGGGAACTTTAATATAACGGCTTTATCTGATAAACACAATTTAAGCTTTGTGCGATGCAACGATTAAAGCTTACAAGATTAGCTACAAACTCTTTAAAGCCACTAATCCTGTATAAAACGAATTTTTCGAAAACGCCCACTTAAAGTCTGTTTTTTAAATGGAAATGTCAAACAGTCCTATCTTTTACACCACTAGCAAATTCATTCATGATAATTTTAATAAAAAAGGTGGCAGTTCCGGTTTTTGATATAATTTGAAAACAATGTTAGCAAGAAAAATTGTCTAAGGAAATTTAGGACGAAATCACAAAGACGAGAACAAATTCACTAACAGTTTTTTGAGATTTGGAGACGAAAAATGTGCAAAACAGTCAGGAAAATATCACCGTTAAAATTTAGACAATTTGTAATGAGGTGTCTTAAACATTTTCTAATTTTTAGCAAGAAATTGAGAAGAATATAAAATAATCATGAATGAGAAAGAATGAAATTGAATTAGTCTTTTTGAGGAACGAGTTGAAAAAGTAACAATTTTGAAACTAAAGCTGAAGAAGAAGTTAGAACATGTTTCAATTTCGAGCTAATTTCAGTAAAACACATAAAATTTATTGCTGATCTTTATACTACCTGCTTGTGTCTTTTGCAAGGTAACTTTTTTCTTTTTCATTAAAGTTTTTGTATCAAAAAGCTCGATTTCACTTGCCGTGTGTTTCTATCAATATTATGACCACTAAATTTTGTCTTTAGACATTAGATGGTGATGTTTTCTATTCGATAATAGCGCTTTCAAAGAGCAAACAGGCACACAAAATTAATAAAAGTCCAAATTTTGACAACATTTCAACATGAAAACGATCATAATTTTTGAATAAAATTACTTTGCTAATAATTAACACGTTTTTGGCATTGTAGATGACATGGAAGTGACCCAAGAGCCGGATTTTGACATTGCTGAATTGAGTTCCACCGGGAGACAAGTGGAAGTGGCCCTTGGCGGTGCAGTACAACTCGCTTGCCCTCCAGGTAACTTATTCTTAAAAAGCTCTTTAAAATTTAAAAGCACAATAACGTAATTTTCTCCGTAAATTGAAAAAAATCTACATATTTTTTCCTTCCCCGAATTCCAAGGCAATTCACTCCTGAAAACGTTAATTATGCTGAAAAGTTGAAATAATTTACGTAAGTATTTCAGGTGCCTAAGTAACTTGATATAATATTGTTGGAGTTTAATTAAAATTCGTCGCTATTATCAATAATTAAATATTTCGAAAACAAGAAAGTTTAGCTTTGTTCCAACGTTTTTCAGCAAACTGTTTTGATTGTCATTAATGTTAATTAGTTTTAAATCGTTGTGCGATTTGTTGTGGAAGAATTTAACGTTGTGCGTTAGAAAGGCTTAGAGAACTAATTTGTTTGTGTGGCTTTCTGCTTAGTATGCAGAGATTTAGTTAAAGGTCGTTGGTGTAGGATCAATCCCTTAACCCTGTAATAACAATAGCACAGAAGGAAAGTTTTAAATAAAGTCGTATTTCACAAACACCCTGAATTGCGTTCTTAAGAACTCTATGCATATGTAACTACACAGGAAAGAATCTGAATAATATTATAAAAAGAGCGACTTGTGCAGAACCACTTAACTTCTTGCTGCAACATGCATATGTAAACAAGTTTCTGTTGGGTTACTTTACAGGTCTTGTTTATTGCTCGACTAAGTCGGCCGTTGCTTGAAAGGAATCTGTTACCATTTGTGGTTTCCAACTTTTTCCTTTGAATATCTCGTAAAGTTTGCATACGATTTTGCAACTTTTCAAATATTGTTCCTGTCCTCGCCGATCTTTGCATAAAATCAATGTTCTTTGTATTGGATTTTTTTGTCGAAAATAGACTCTTGTGGATTAAACTCTTCGTTTTATTTTCATTTAGGCACGTCTGGCTGTTGGACTCGTGTAGAGGCAGGAAGTGGCCGACTCGAGCCCATGGGAGCATCGCAGGAATTAAGGTTGGATAAGGTCCTTTACCAAGAGGCCGGAGAATACAGATGTGTATCTCCCAGTAGAGATCTCACACGGAGGCTGGATTCCCTTAGAAACGCTTTATCCGTTCAACTAATTGTAACAGGTAAGTGTCAGTCTTTATTAATTGTCTCGTGGAGATGGTATATTTTGTCGGAGACGCTTAAGAAAATTGACTATTCCAAGCTAATGGAAAGCAATTATACGGAAAAACGATAAAGGCACTTTACGCACAGAAACGTTCATAATTTTCGAGACTATATTTTATAATCAAATCTAGGAATACAATCTAATAAGTAATAATATTTTATTTTTTAATATTTCTTTGAGATGGAATTGTACACCCGGGGAAAAAACTATACACCAGTCTAACTTTCTGCTCACACTGCGCTTTGTTGCAATAGTGTTTCAGACTAATTAGTTGGGGAGCAGGTACTATGTCGAAAGACCCTTATTTAGGAAGTTGGTCCGGACTCGAGATACACGTTTCTTCAAAACGGTCTTTTTCTGAACATTTCTTCAATGAGTATAGATTATTAAATGGTGATTATAATACTTTGCAAAATGACACTAAGCAAATTTTAGAGAAAAATGCAATCCCATGTAACAAAATTTTTGTGATTTACTTTTAATTTTATTAACAATAGCTAGTTTCTTCCGTTTTTTAATATTTATTTCTAAACAAAGCAAAAATCCAAAGTGGTAAATTTAATGCCATAATAATAATAATGTACTAATATACAGTATGCCCCCGGATTTTTTTATTTTACGCTAACACTACAAAAGAAAAACATTTTTTGCTTCACCTAAAACCAGTAAGTCTGTAATTTTAAAAGTTCATTATTATCACTCAGTGGAAAGAAAATTTAATTTTTCTCTTGATTTTGAACTTGTAATGTAATTAATAATACAAACAATACGATGTTTAATATACCTTTAATCGAATTATTATTTTTATGTTAACTTACCTTTAATTAAACAAAAATAATTGTTAAATTTTTCTATCACGTTACACTTTTTTTTTGTTACAGACGATAATTTTCCTACTTTCTGCACAAATGCGTCCGATTTAAAATTTATTTAAATTCAAATTGTTGCTAAATTATTGCAAAATTATTACTATATTGGTTTAAATAGGTCTTAAAAAACATTTCACTCGCATTTGGACTTCTTTTCTAAAAATTTAGGGAGCATGAGTGACAAACAAGACGAGCATTTTCATCAAGATCTGAAGCGTTTTGGGATGAAAATATGTTAGTAAATTACTGTTGGATTGTTATAAAGAAAACTGATCCAAAAAGTATAATAAAACCAAGTAAAATAACTCACTTTTAATATATTTTTTGTCGGTTTTTGTATTTTTGTTAATTACATATTTCTTAAACGTAACGTGGTGGACTTTCTTAAACAGTTTTTTTTTAACTCAGTGCCTTAAAATCTATAAGAAAGCCAAGGTATAAAAATCGTGTAAACTAGTGTAATTTTTTCTCTGCGTTTTAACCCCATCACATTGGCGTTTTATTTTTTTTGACAACGATGTCGTTTTGACAGATGAGTTAACGCAAGTTAAATAACAAAAATGTTTGTAAAAAAACATAATTTTAATAAATGGCAAGTCAAAAAAACAGCTTCTAAAAAAACAAAAACAATCATTATTATTCAATTAATTAATTAATTAATTGTCAAAGTGACATCGTTGTCAAAAAAATAAAATCGCCAATGTGATGGGACTTGAAAAGCAAAGAAAGATTATTATTACAAGTCCAAAAGTAAGAAAAAAATTAACTTTTCTTTCCACTGAGTCAGAATAATGAAATTTTAATTACAGATTTGCTCGTTTCAGATAAAGCAAAAACAACCCTTGCTGTTAGTGTTACTTCATCTACTCAAAAGAGTTTTTAAAGAAATAGTTTAACATCTGCTATAGAAAAAAAAGTATTTTCTTTGCTTTCACAGTGGCGAGTGTTACAAATACACGAGTATCACAATGAGATGTTATAACACGCCTTTTTTATACTATTTTTTCTATTGAGCGCAATTTATTACTATATTTGACTGTTAAAATTTTTCACATTTGACGTATACTATATCCAAATTCCTCGAAAATGGTTTAAATTGCATTAGTTTCGGTGCAATATGTTGAAATACAACAATTTCTTTCGTAAAAACGACAGTCTATGGCCAGTGATGGCAAAAGTATTGCATAAAATGTCGCCAAAAAAACAGTGCTACAAAATTGCATGTGATGCAACTCATTATGACGAGCAGCAAAGAGCGAGTTTTATAAAGAACGAGTTCCCACAAATGACTTATGAAATGAAAAAACGCAAAATATAACAAAAAAAATGTGTTTTTGCTATATTTAGACGCTTTATTTTTCTTTGATTAGGTCTAAGCCAGAATGCTGGTTTTGCGTTTGGTCTCCCAATTACGATGTACACATTAAAAATTTTGAAAACGTTTAAAGTTTTGAAAATTTTTGGCTCTACAATGTTTTACTTTTTATCCTCAAAATTTTGATTATTTATTCTTCTATTCTACTCGATGTTAATCTTCTTTTTACCTTCCCACTCGTACCACTTTTCTTTTAAAAACGCCTAAATATTTTTAGTCTCAATGTTTTAATTTAGTTGCTGAAGATTATAACATTAACAGGTCTCTCACTTATTCTCTAGTTTGAAAAAAAAATTTCTCGACGAAGCATGATTGTATTATTTTGCTTTTTACTTGTAATTTGTCTGTTTGTCATTTTATTATGCTTTTTATTAGAACTGTTTAATAATAATTATTTATTGTAAGAGTGTGTTAGATAGCATTTTATCCACGCAAGAATGTTTAACGGCAAGAACGTCAGTTCGAGCGCTTAATTTTCTTAAGTGGATAAAACGCGAGTAACACACGACTGCAATATAACATTTTATCCACAATCACAGGCCCAAATTATTCCAAACTTAATTAAAAATTAAACTGACATTTAAACTGTTTAATAGAGAGTTATTTAATTATTATTATTACTACATTGTTCAAAAACTTAACAAATTTATTATATTTACTAGTAACGAAAGTAAAAAAATGTTTTCTTTGTAAAAATTTCAATTATCTACTCTTACCTGCAACTTCTACCGCCTGATTCTAGTATTTTTTTGTAACTACTTGTATTTTATAACGACTATAAATAATAATTAATAATTAATAAATTTTCTTCATTATTTGAGTTGTTAAATTAAATAAAATTAGATAAGAGAACAACACTTTAGTGATAGGTATCGGGAAAAAATATTTCGACTTCAACAAAAAATAAATCGGTTTTTAATTGCATTTGTCTCATAAAATATAATCATATTTTATTAATCCATATTATAGTGCCCTTGTGTGTCTATAACCGCAATAATTTAACAATTTATTGTTCCATTTTTATCATTTCATATAAAAATTAATTTAGCTGTCATTTACAATGATATATGTATTTAACCGCGTTTTTAAACATCGGTGTGTTGGTCATAGATAACAAGTAAAATATTTATTTTAAAAAATAATTTATTCCAGCATACATTATGGAACTGATAGATAGCTTTTGTGTTTTAAATTAAACAATTAAAAAGTACGTAAAATGCATAATTTATTAGGCCATAATATGAGTTTATAGTTATTTCTGAACCCATTATTTGGTACAACACGATTTAAAAAAAGACAACAAAATGAAAAATAAACAGAGTGCGTCAGAACTCGCGCCCCAGAGAAAAATGTAAGGTAAGGTACCAGAAACATGAAAAAAATGTAAAAAAAAAATTATCCATGAGAATTTCGAGGTTATGAGAGTTTAAATTTTGCACTTTGACTCTATTTATTTCTGTTGGAAAAATAATTAGAAGAGGAAACAAGGAAGCTGTATCCTAAATTGTAACTCTGTTTAATGTTATTTATGGTTTTTATTGGCAAAATTTTGGTACCTTCACTAAATAATTATTAAAAAACATATACAAGATCATGAGTATCACTAGACATAAAAAAGTCAAAAGTCAAAAAATAAATGTCAAAATTTTTTGACATATAGAATTTTTTAAACATTTTTTCCATGTTCCTGGTATCTTATCTTACTTGAAATTTTTCTCTAGGGCGCGAGATCTGATAGTCACCCAGTACATACCGGGTGACTGTAAAATCCTAGTTCCGCTACCTAATAAAATTCTTTAAAAATGTAACTTTAATACCAACTTTTTATTAACTAATTAACACCGTGTATAATAAATAAAATATCAAAACACTAGATGTACGGACTTTTGTTTCAAATTTTATTTTAAAAAACACCATTCCAATCATTTCTTTGTCCCAAAGACAACACTTTGAAAATTATTAAAACAAAAAATATAACTTAGAAAAAGTTTATTTTCAACGTTTTTAGAAAAATAATAATTAATTTAACGGTTTGCGGTCGGTGCAAACATTTAATAAAAATGAACAGGATTTATTATTCTGCATTTGTTGACATGCTAAATGAAAAAAATTACAAAACAGCCAACTGCTGTAATTTTATTTCCTATTCCCGTTCCAGCTTGTAGTAGACTTGATGTTTCATCGTAAAATGTTTAACATCAAAAGGAACAAAGTTAAAACATTTGGGTTGTCATGCCCAAACTTGAGCTAATAATTGTTGTGTGGCTATTATCTCGGCCGAAATTCACACAAAACTATTAGAGAACGAGTTGGCTTTGTGTAATTTATTTAATCAAGTTGAGTGAATCCCGGAGCTTGGCCATGTATAGCGTGTGTGGTAGCCCAGGACTTGTACTAGGTTGCCAGTGTTGCCAACAACACAAACAATGCATGATAGGCGATTCATCACCGATATAGTGTGGCGGCTGAAGTGCATTTTACTCCATATTTTTATTCAAACTGACTTATTTACCTTTGGATATGGAAACGTAATGGTGAAATGGACGCATGAACGAACTATCCTTTTGTATCGTAAATTATTGATCAATTTGTTTATAGTTTGTAATTGTTTCTAACTCATGCATACATATAAATCATTTTGTAGTCAGTAAAACATGAAATTGTTTACATGCCTATCACAAAACAATACGCACCAGTAAATGTGGATGTGGA